GGGTGTCTATAAACGACTAATCACTACCCCAGAAAGCGCAGGATGTTCGCCATCCTCTGGAGTACTACCTCACCGCCTCCCCCACTATGAAACTTCTGCAACTCTTAAACGTGGAAATGGCGAATCGAGACGCGGTCACCATCTCCCCGCGGAGTGGATTCAGCAGCGCCACCCACAGACTCTTCGCTAGCGGAGCCCCTCGAGCCTCGCGCCTTTTCCTCCTGGCCCACCTTCAGGAGGCTGCGTGATGCTTTGGTTCCGGCGGCTGCAGCGGTAGGGAGGTGGGGGGAAGCTATCTAGGCAGAGGCCTGCCCGTGTGGGAAGTCTGGTGCGCGATGCGCTTAAACTCATTTCCCTCGGCCTCAAGGGAAGGGAAGGGTGGGTGGGAGGGAGATACAGCCTTGCTTAGGAATCACGGAGTAGTTGTGTGTATACACGGTTTAGTAAAGCTAGGGAGAGGAACGTAATTAATTCCTCTTCCCAGTCTGTCTCCTCCTGTGCGTGTCTCTTTCTGCAAAGAGAGAAAATTAATTAGGCAGGTTTCTCTCTTAGACTTTCGGCCCAGTACACTGCCAGACAAGTCTAATCGGCCGCAGGCGCTCTTCCCTGAGGAAACAACCGGTGTCCTAGGAGATGAGTGCGAGCCGGGCTGCTTGTCTTGTTACACTCTGACCGAGTTCTCTCCCCAAACCCCGGCGAATGAAATGTACAAAAGACCACATTTACTTTCGTGCCGTGGGTCATTGATGGAAGTGTCCAATCAAAAGGCCGAGGGATGTAGGCGTGGTTGTTGCTCCACCAATCCCAGGGGCTGTGTGGGTGTTGCTAGGAGATAGGGTGATATGGTGACTGTATTGAGGGACGGGTCTGTTTAGGAAATGAAGCTGTTGGTGATGCAAGAAGCGCTTGTGAATTGTGGCTTATTTCAGGTCATTCACCTCAGAAGAGTAAGAGCTTCCTGGGTTACTACAGTTCAATCTTCCAAGTGGACTCCAGATCGCTTCACTCTACTCCAGGGATTTTATTCCTGCTGCGTGGAAGGATATAGCCCTTAAATAGTACCTTACTGTTCTTACATCTTTTGTCTTTCTAGGTTTGCTTCATGCCAGAGAGTAAAATTCTGGGACTAGGATTAGGAACATGTATGATCTTGTTTGCTGCCTTTATATTCTACTGGTGCTAAAATTTTCTGGTTACTTTTTGAAGTGTGGCTTCCTTCGCCTCTTTTCAGAACATTTGTGAGCTCTTAACTTATTCATAGATTTGTGTTTGCCTGGCCCAAATGTAACACGCCCCAGTCTTTATAAAAACAACACAGGGCAGAAGAAGTGGCCCCCAAAGCCTAAACTATAATGAAATGTGTCAGTCTTTAAAGTGCCACAGAAGTCTTTGTGACTGACTTTTACCCAGAGAGTGTAGTAGAGAGCAGAAAAAGAAATGCTGCTTAGTCTGAACTTGTCAGGCTGAGGCTGAGTCACTTTTTGAATGTTACTTTTACTTATTGCAGGCTATATTTTGAACATAGTATAGTAAGTGGAGTATAGTAAACTGGGAGACTCAAGTTCAAGCCCCTATTTATGAAACTCAGTGATTTTACCCGTCTCTTAGGGTTCCCCAGTCTGGCGGCCTTCTGATGCATTGAAATACAATTCCCACCATTCTCAACCGACATGGACATCATGCTATGGCACTGTTATGAAGAACCACATCTGTTTCTCTGAACTCTCTGAAATAGTTTTTTAAAACATGAATTTGTACATTTTTATCTAAAATCATATAATATTGCAATTCCAAGGGATCCGCTGTTTCTTTTTACATTGCATTTCTGCTAATTAAATATATTACTAATAAAAACATATTAAAATGAGAAAATTTGCTCTGTCATGTTTCAATCTCCTTTCCTCCAGTGATTCTACATATTTAAACAATTTTATTCCTATTCTCTTATAAAAACAGACCCTTAGATTTTAGGCCTCAAAAGATCTTCCTCAGTGTAGTGTCCTCCTAATATGCTGGATTATAGTTCCCATCATCCCAACAGCATGAGATTGTCCCAATGTGATGACATTCTTGAGCTGGCAGCATATAGGCACTGTGAATGGTTAATATATCTTGTTTATAGTTAATTGATAGTTTTTATGTCCTACTGCAGGATTGGTAGGCCTATGATTATGATCTGTCTCAGATGCTGTCAGACTCTGAGGAAATTAGGGTCTAGCCTTTCCTGAGTTTCCAACTGGCATGACTGGTGCTTCTGTCAATGTCCTAGGCCAGTGTTTCTTAAGGTGTGGTCCTAGGATCCCCGGGGGTCCCCAACATCCTCTCAGGGGTCTGCAAATCAAAACTATTTGCCAGCCTATGTTGAAAAATAATATAATATTAAAATTCCATCGAACAATCACATCTGTGAGAAGTAGCAGCAACAAATGTGTCAATTTTAATTTTTAATACGGTAAATATTGATAAATATAACCCATACAAACAAAACTTCTTTTGGGGTCCTCCATACTTTTTAAAAGTGGGAAGGGGGCCTGAGAGAAGAAAGTTTAAGAAACACCTCCTTAGGCCAAGAGTCCTGCATCTGAGGCTTCAGGGTTTCAAGCAGCCTTACACAGACTAAAACAACCCTCAGAACCCTGCCACATTGTAATTTTTAAAGTGAAAGTACAGCTATTGAATACATGGGAACAATCATACAAACTGTATTTCATTACTTTAATGTTTATGACATTTCAATTAAATTATTTTTTTGTTCTCTTTGGAGTACAGCCTCTGGCATGCCTCTCAAAAATCATATGGCCTATGGCTGAGAACCTTAGATGTAATTAGCCTGTGGAATGTGGAGAAGTACAAGGCAGTAGATACAATTGTGCCCATATGCGTTCTCCTGCGATGCAGAGCCTTTGTAACAAATTTTCTGGAGTATGATATTATGATACTATGATATTAAATATTTCAAGGATAATACCATTCATATCAGATACGACTTCTGCAATGGATGAGATAGGTCAACATCTAGTTATGTTTTATGTAATGAATTTCTTCATTAACCCTGGGCAGGAGGAAAAAGTAAGGCAATTGAATTAACTGCTATTTCCCAGCAACATTATGTCCATGTAGTTACAGGATACCTTTAGTGAACCTTAACAACAATGGTTATGAGGGACAACTGATTTTCAGAGTGGGCATAGTGGTACATACAGGTCTGGCTGTATAGCTGCATGTCCAGGATTGCTCCAAAACTACTCTAATTGATGTAGGGGTCATAATGTTGGATAATAAAGCTGACTGGAGGAGAGCTTATTGGCTGGGGAATTCTGGGAATTAGAGTCGACACATCTTAAAGTTGCTGAGGTTGAGAAACACTGCCCTAGAGCTTCTACAGCTCCTGTCTTCTGTGTTGCAGCTGGCAAGCAGCCAGAAAAGAGCTTCCTAAATTCTTGGCCAGCTACATGAAACTCTGCTTTACCAAATTAAAACTTCTGGCACCCAGGTTTTTTAGTCTAGTAGTCTATCTCCCCAGAAGATTATTCAAATTTTTTGCTTTATTTTCTGTGGTTCAAATTTTAAGCATTGAGTATCTGTTCTATTTTAAAGTAAATATGACTTTTGGTAGGGTTTAAATTTTATTTAAACTGTCTATTCTCTGTAAATGTTTTGAATTCCCCCAACAGAAATACATGCATATTTTAAAAAAATGAATAAAAAGAACAGGTTGCTTATTTGTATTGTGGTACTCTAAGTGATCATTTGAACACTCACTTGTGGATGTTCCTGCACCTATACAGGGCTCTTCACTTGAAGAACCACAATTACAAGTGAACAACCTGTTCTTCATTATTACGGTCCCTATGCAACATACCTGTGGGTAACTAGCAAGTTTGACTCACAGGTGATGGATAAGGCAGTTGCTAGCAATGAAGAGAGGATTATACTACATACATACAATTTACTTTCCTAAATTCTTCTAAAGTCTGGAGAGATTAGTTAGAAGCCAAATGATTTAGAAAGAGAAGATGCAGAGAGAGAAAGACAATAAGCACTTTCAACATGCAATGGGTTTAGAGATACCAATGTAGCTGATAGACTAATATTTGAACTATTTCATATCTTAATAAAAACAAATAAAACAATCTCAGTGTACTTTACAAAGAACATTTGATAATCTAGTGAAATCTCAATCCTTTATATTGTAATTTCGGATTTTAGTTATTCGTTGAGATTTTTTTGGCTTCTTGGATTGTACGTGAGGTGATTTCTTTGGTTTTAGCTGTGACTGGACATCAAACTTTGTCCCCTTAACAGTCAGGGGATCTGCTTGTGCTTTTCTTGGAGACTCTTCAAGTCTTTTGGGTTCGTTGATAATCTGGCATTCTTCTACAAATCAGAAAAGATAAAGGAAATTGACAGCATTTTCACAGAATGCCAATACAAGTAATGGAGGCAGCAGAAACCCCTAGTGACCTCAGGAAAGAACATCTTTTCACCCCCATCTGTCATTGCCATCTTTCAAGAAAGCCGGTGACATTGTTAGGGCTAGGGCCAGCTTTAGTCTAAGGCCGAACAGGCATTGGGCTGTGGCACCAAAACTTAGAGGGAGCCAGTGCTGCCCCTCATTCCGAATCATTCTAAAATTGCAAATCTTTGTATTGGTAGGAGGTGCCGCCATCAGTCAACGTGGCCTAGTATATGTGCCATATACCTTTGAGCCAGCACTGCTTAGGCCCAAACTATAGAGTCCTGGCCTAGTATCCTGCAGCCTAGGAGGCTTCCTAAATGTCCACATATCACTCCCAGAAGCAAATATTCCTTTTTACATTTTTTTCACAGTCTGTGGTCAGTCCACTATAACAAAAACTTTATATACAGAGAGACACACAGACAGACAACTGCCACAGCTGCTGTCGCCACTACTAAGTAAACTGAGTGGACTACAGGGCAAAGAGAGGAAACAGACTCAGCACATCTACAGAAGGGATAAATATGACTCCTTTAATTTTCCAAAATTGTTTATAGGAATTATTGGATGAACTGCTTCCAAGCAAAGGGTAAGCAACAAAACCTCCCCATTTTACCAAGTTGCAAAACATTGCTCTCCTTTTTTTTCCCCTGCTTTTTTCTTTTAAGTAGAGGAGGAAGCAAGTGAACATTGTAAGTGGAACTCGGTAAAAGAAAGGGAGATGGTAAGGTATTAAGCAAAGGCATTTGTTCAGGATCTTTTTAGCCCAGAAGTATTACTGAAGGGAGCAGAGCCAGAAACCATGTGATGCCTCTGCTGGGCACCATCAACATATCAACATAATCTCCTACTGGGAGGACAGTAAAATCTACCTGAAAAAAACATTGTCCATATATTGTAAAACAAAGCAAGTAAAACTTCACCCATGGCTTAAAAAAAAACTATGGGGAGGTTTTTTAGCTAGTCATCAATATGTATTGCCCTAAAAGTAGCACATCAAAAAGGCATTATTCACTTAGTTGAAGTGATCAGGTTTCCAGTTGGATGGAATTGGTCAAAACGTTCTAATCTGAAGCCTCCAACAATTACAGTAGATAACATATTTCTTTCATACAGTAGTATAGTATATGTGTGTTATTAAAACGCAGTAGTAAAAAAAATGATAACATCATCCATCGATTACATTTTGCATTTCTCTGGGACCCAACTGTCATTTTTTTGCAGAAGGAACCATTTTATTGTTCAACACCATGGGGTGTTTCAAGTACAGTAGACCTATAAATGGTCACAATCAAGCAACTCCCAGCAGCGCACAATAAATGTAAAATATCTACAAGATAATCATACAAAAATTACACACATCGAAAACAATAACCTAGAGCAATATCAACAAGTATATGATTCTTCCTCAATAAATTGCATTTAAAAGGCCCTCTGGAAAAGCTCTTCTTCCTGAAGGACAATAATTGGGGTAAAGCTAGCTTCTTATTAAAGAAATGTTTAAAAGAATAAAAACAATACAAAATTTGAAAGAACAAAATAGAGAAAGTAAAGTAATAAGTGAAAAAAAGTACAAAGAAAGAAATAGAGAAGAAAAAGAAAAGTTATTAAGAAGAAAGATTTTTTGCGCAAAACAGAAAAACATGAACTTATGACTATGGTTTTTACAACTAGATAGGAGAGATTACAGAACGAAGAGAGTCATGACGTAACTTTAGAGAAAGAAGTAAATTTACAATTGTACTTATAACTGCTGTAAAGAAGATCGGAAGCTACTTCTTTATATCTTTTTTCTTTCTTTTCTATTTTTCTTCTACCTTTTCTTTCTTTTCTTTTTGCACTATAGCTTTCTCTTTTATTTCTTCCTTTTTCTTTTTTCTTATTCTATTTTAGTTTGTATTAATTTTTACTCTTGTTTTTAAAACCTTCAATAAAATTATATTAAAAAAACATTTAAGAAGAGATCTTCTGACTGGCAGGAAGGAAAAAAAACCACTTGGTGAGTCAGCCTTCATTCCAGATGAAAGAAAGAAAAAAGGAAAACAATAATTTTAAGAAGTTAAAACTAACAGCAAAAAGCTTAATAAGATTTTTGACCTAAATAAGTTATAAACAGACAAAGGGGACAGTTTGAATGTAAAGGATTAATAGTTTGATGAAACTGCTTGTGACACTACCTGGAAACAATTAGATGAACAGACCATACTTTCATGGGAATGTTGATTGTTTAACATCAAAAGGAAAAGACAACTGGTGGATTTTACAAAACAAAGAGATGAACTGGACTCCCTTGTTTAAAATATTGGAAGATATGAACTTTGGTGAGAATGTTATTAAACGAGTAAAATCAACTTATACTTCACAAAAAGCAGAGATAATTGTAAATGTCCCTTGTCACCATTGTTATTTATCTTAGCTCTGGAAGTATTGAATAGAGACATAAGACGAAAGAATTGCTGGAGTGAGGATTAAAAGGGAAACATAAATTATGAGCATTTGCTGATGAGTTGGTGATAATTCTGGAAAATCCTTTGGAAGGAATAGAAATATTAATGGAAAAATTAAACGATTTTAGTGCGTTAGCTAGATATAAAATTAATAGTGAGAAAATGAAGATGTTAATAAAAAACATGAAGATAGAAGAGCAAAAAAATTGATGGAAAAAACTTAAGATTGAGAAAAAGTGAAATATTTGGGTATTATTATGACTAATATGAATTGTATGTTATTTCAGAAGAGACATGGAATGAAATTTCCATGGAATTGGAATTTTAATTTCATTCCATGGTATTTAAGATATGGAATGAAATTAAGAAGTGTTGCTAAGATGGGAGAAATAGCAATTGTCATTGGGGAGAATTTCTATGATAAAAATGAATGTATTGCCTAAAATGATGTTTTTATTTTAATTTCATTCCATGGTATTTAAGATATGGAATGAAATTAAGAAGTGTTGCTAAGATGGGAGAAATAGCAATTGTCATTGGGGAGAATTTCTATGATAAAAATGAATGTATTGCCTAAAATGATGTTTTTCTTTCAAACTATACCTATTTTGACAACTGATGTACCATTTAAGCAATGGCAGAAAGATATATCTAGGTTTGTATGGCAAGGGAAAAAGCCAAGGGCTAAATATAAAATTGTCCAAGATGCAGAGGAATGAGGAGGATTGGGACTGCCCAATTTGAAACTGTATTTTGCAGTGTGCTGCTTGGTTTGGATGAAGGAGTGGGTGCTGCTGAGAAATAAGAGAATTTTAGAAATAGAAGAGCATGACCTGAGGTTGGATGGCATGGTTTTCTATAGTATGATAAAGTTAAGGTTAAAGTAGATTTTAAAAATCACTATATTAGAAGTGCCATATTATATAAATCCAAACTGTGCCTGAAAATGCCTTTATGGGTCTCAGCACAAGAAGCATTTCATAGAAAAGAAACAGCAGGCAAAGAGAGATGGTTAACATATAGAGAGCTGTTAGAACAAGAACATTTATCAGTTTATTATCCATACTCTTCAGGCTCCATTGATAGATTTTCATCAGCCTGCTCAGGTTCTTCTCATATGAGGTCCGTATAAAGGGCCTGGTTACTTGAGGGACCACCTATCTTCCATAACTTCTGCCCAGCTGATTCAATCCTGCAGGGTTGGCGCGCTCCGGGTTCCTTCAATTAAACAATGTCATCTATCGGGACACACCTTCTCTGTAGCAGTGCCTGCACTCTGGAACAAGGTTCCCCCCAAGTTCCAGATGGCCCCTACTCTGCTGTTGTTTAGAAAAGCCATAAATACCTGGCTTTTCACCCAGGTCTATGGTGAGGGAGAGCACCATTCTTCACTTCATTGCACTTGTCATCCTTTATCTTTATGTTTCATTGATTTTATTATAATTCCTTTGACTGTTGTGAGCCATCCAGAGTTGTTGAGAATCGGACAGCATACAAGTTTAATAAATTATGGTTATTATTAATTTATTTTAAAAGGCAGGCTATAAGAGAGGACTGAAGGAACTTAATTACAGCAGCCAAGCTTAAGAACCCCTCTTGGTCCTAATGATAGACACTTTGGCTTTATTTCTCAAATATGTGCATAAGATTGCGAGATCTATTTTCAAAGTATCTTCAAAAGGGAGTCATTGTGGTGATCTCCCTGATTGGCCACCTGTGTCTATGGCTGAGGTCAAAGACTTCATTACTCAACTAAAACCTGGAAAGTCATCAAGAGGAGATTTCATTCTCCCAGGACTAGTAAGGGAGAATAAGGATTTTGGCTGCTTCATTTACTCATTATTAATATTTCAGCCCATTTTCCATATGACTGGAACCAAGCTACTGTTATTCCATTCTATAAAAATAAATAGACTAGACCATATAAATTACAGGCCTATTAGTTTACTCAATACAATAAGTAAACCATATGCCAGGTTTCTATATTCAAATGACTGGGTTGGGTCCAAAGCAACGTTATTCCTGAGGAACAGGCTGGATTTAAAGGGCAGTATTCAGCTTTGGACCATGGTCTGGTCCTTTACCATTTGGCTGAAAAATACTCTGCTTCCCCGAGGCTCCCTGTTTTGTAACCTTTGTTGACTTTAAGTCAGCTTTTGAATTAATTCCAAGGGAGAGACTGTGGAACAGATTAAGGCAATTCACCATTGACAAAAGGCTGCTTCTACTTATCCAGTCTCTCTACTCTAACACCTCTCTGAGAGTTAGATGTTGTTATTATTATATTTTATCCTTCCTTTTTATATATAACTCAAGGTGGTGGACATATATAATACTCCTCTTTCCTATTTTCTCCACAACAACCACCCTTTGAGGTGGGTTAGGCTGAGAGAAAGTGGCCCAAAGTCACCCAGCTGGCCTACATGTCCATCTTTTTGAAGTTGTTCCAATTTACAGAAGGTTGCATTCTA